GTCCTCATCTGGTGAGATAGACCAACGAATCTCTTCTTCATGCACTTTCATACGAAATGAAGGTCCCTCTGACAATATAGTCTCAAGAGTTAGAAATAATTGATTCATAGGCAGAACAAATACGTGCTGACACAGATTTCAGTTTCTAAGACATAGTACATCTCGGCAAGCTCGAGAATATTTGACTTCCCAGCCAGACTTCCAGAAAGTGGCGAAATTAAAATTTTAAGAAACCATCATAGGCGTAGATCGATGATTAGGATGCGAAATGACAAAAGGCAGATAAAGATAATAGAATAAGAAGGAAGAGTTGGGAGTAGTGATAAAATTAAATACAGCCATTAAAGTTGAACGTAGAAAATAAGTTTCATGCAGGATTTATGAGGAATCAGATAAAATGTTACATATAAAGGTAGGAAAAGAATAAAGTGTAATATTTTGAACGTATCCAGATTGATAATTTAGAGCTCTGTGTGTACAGGTAGGTCATCCCAAACCATCTCAGGGTACTTAGCAGCCAAAGCCTTTTCAGCTGGGAGATGACAGGCAGCCGGAGTAGACAAATGAAAGTCGTAGAGGCAACGAGAAGACTCGCTGATAGAAGTTATTTCATTTTTACTGCCACAGTGTACGTAAACCTATAAAAAAATCCATTATATTATTAGATCAAACACGGATGTATTCAAATTCTAGGAGCATAAACCATAAGAATTACCCGAGCACGGTCCATGTCGTATAGATGCCTGCAGCGCATCATAATTACAAGCCGGGTGGGAGCTTGAGTAAGCCTTAGGGACTTTATTCGAAATTTAGAAAAAGGTGGTGCCTAGCCATACCAAGAAGATTCATTAATCTTCGAGATTAAAGTGCTTAGTACAGCTCAAAATACAGATGAAACAAGAAATTATTCTGATATTTGCTGTTAAAAACCAGCAACTAGAATAAAAATTTGCAGGCACATACAGGAATAAAGAATGTTGGAAATAAGCCAGATTTAGAAGAAACTTCGCCGTTTCAAAATGTATTATTTCTAAGCACTGCTGACTTAGCAAAATGCAAACTGTATGGTTGAGTAATATAAAGGTAGAAATGTAAAATTCAGATACAATGAAAAATATGGTGCAAATAAAAAGAGCATTTGTAGTTATGTTACATTTAAGATTAGTGAGTGGATCATGATCTTACTTTAAAAATGTTAGCAAATGGGCCCCAATAAAATAAGATATAATTTATTGGTATATATTTATAATCGTTAATGAGTAGGCTTTCGAGAATACCAGTATAACAGATATATGAGTTGTGTTTACCTTATTTCGTTTAAGGTGACGAAGAACTGGTAGTTAAAATTTCCTATAATGATATGAGTAGAGCTGACGTTTCCATTGAATTTCACATAGCCTTGCTCTCCCGAAAGGCGTTCTCATCCAGAGTGGACTGCAGCTTCGACTTCACTTAGGTCTTATCAACACCCTCAGCGGGAGTCGAATCGTGATAGTGCAGCATGCGAATTTGGCACGTTAACCACTTAGCTACATCGCCACGAGTGGGTCACAGGGCAGATGTGAATTTCAAGGAATGTCAAGCATTTTTCATACCATATTCTGTATTGGGATTGTTTATTAAGCAAACTTATACTTGCTATATCAATCAACGATACCTAGGCGAGGTCGAAACTGCAGTCCACTCTAAATAACAACACATTTTAGAAAAGCAAGGCTATATGAAATTCAGTGAAAACGTCAGCTCTACTTACATCATTGTGGAAAAATTCAACTACCAGTCTTTCATCGTCTTAAACGAAATATGCTAAACACAACTCGTATATTTTTAATGTTAACTCGATTAATATAAAGCGTATCTCTGTTATTTCATTATCATTACGTAAAGTAAAAATAATTAAGGAATTCCTACATTGTATAGCAGGAAGGTAAGAGATCTTCAGTTAGTATATTTACATTATTTGAACGTCCTCGCATTATTATTGATGCAAAAAATTTGCATTTAGTTTCTGTCTTATGGTATGCATACTTGAGTTGAGCGAGCATCAATTGTCACTTGATCTCGTTTTTGCAGCCTGGTTGTGTTGTCGGAGCGACTTGGTTAGACGTATCTTGTCCGAAACGTATACATCGAAAGGAGATTTTGATCATATCAAAGGCGACACCATCTTGGCATTTATATCTTCGATCAATAAAGTCACTTCACAAAAAAGCTGAGTTTCCCACAGCTTTCTGTATTCATTGATAGTGAAATGAATAATGGAATCCCTCTTTGAGGATACTTCTTATAAAACGAAGGCACCACACGAACTAATTAAAGTCAGGGGACGCTGCAACGATATGTTATGGCCAATATTATAATAAAGATAGATAGATTGAGCATAAACGAATAAAAGTTGATTTTCGAAGAATATCTTGGTTTACAATTTTTGAGCTCCCCTATATTTCTAATAAGAGAATGTAATGAAACTATTTAAATGTCGAGCCCACCAAAATACGATAGAGGATTCCTCTCAGCCAGCTATCGTTTGGATTTGCTGAAACATTCGAGATAACACCACTACCGAGCCAACTCCCTAGGTTTCGGTAAAACATGCCCAGCATTCTTATATTCGTTGTCGATTGCTATAGCAAACATACGTTTGCTTCATCGGCACTCCCACCAAAATAATATGATATAGTAAAGAGGCCTGACCTTCTTTGAAATTCACTTATTCCCTGTGACTCAGGGGTACTCGTGGCAGTGTAGCCGAGTGGTTAGCGTGTCATGCTACCGTCCTGCACTGTCGCGGTTCGACTCCCGCTGAGGGTGTTAATAAGGCCGATGCGAGGTCGAAACTGCAGCCCACCCTGGATGAGAACAACTTTTGGGAAAGCAAGGCTATGTGAAATTCAAAGGAAACGTCAGCTCGACTCATATCACTGTGGGAAAATTCTACTACCAGTCCTTCATCAACTTAGACGAAATAGGGTAAATACATCTCATTACAGCATTCTTATGCCTACTAATTAAACCAATTAAGTCTAGCAAATGTTCCTGACTCGTTTGCTCAGATAAGAAGCAAAAGTTTAGCAAGTATTCATCGGCATCGCAGGAAAATGCCTTCGAAATAGTGCCAATCAGTGTTCTGGTAAAGCCAAACGACAGTTGACTATGAGAAATACGCAATCATCTTCTGTTAGGATAGAGCTTCGAATCTCTTCATATTATTTTCACTCGAAAGTAAGCTGAAAAGTTAAATATGCAGGGATTAAAGGACAATCATAAAATGCCTGAAAGCTAACAAGGAGTATTAGATCCTGATTCCAACTAAACAGGAAGTTTTGCATCATAGCATAATCCCCAAATTACCTGATGGAGAAGTGCGGAAGGTAAAACTAACTTAAAAAATACGATTTAATAGAAATCTATCGGTGATTTTTTAAGATTGCTTCAGAAAGGAACCCAAAAGATGTGGATAGTTTACAAACAGTTAAGCTAGTAGTTATATACACAACAGATAGATCTATAAGATTCCGATATAAACTATCGGAACGTGTTTGTCGCCAATTACCTTGACAGATCTAGCGGGCCCATTCCAGCATTGAACACCGTTTTCGTATAGCATAATATCATAAACGCGATCTCGCTTCTTCTCTTCAACTTCCTCCTCATTCTCGTCCTCTTCTTGATCGGTTTTCCATGTCCTCTCCAGCTTTCGCTCGGACGACTGATCAATTTTCTTCTCAAATTCGCCAGCTTCATCAGTTGAATCAGAAGTGGAGCTGTCATCTGAAGCGTCATGCTTCTGTTTATCTATGGTCTCTCCCCTAGCCTCGTCTACGTCAGCTATCGTGCCTGGCTTTGGATGCCCCTTTCCCAGCCAGCCAGCCCATTGACCCAGTAGAGTTCCACCAGAAGTTGAGCCACGTGGTGCCTGAAAAGCCCGGTCAAAAGGGCATAGCCTATAGGTATAATCAAGTTCATCAAAGGTAAGACACCCAACATCCGGCTCAACAAGCATAGAAAATGCATATTTTGGACCGTAATCAACTGGCATGGTGCGAGGTGATGGCGTCTGCGGCAATTCCTGAGGTTCCAGCTGAGAATTTGTAGAGGAAGCAGATTCCGGGTCAAGTTCGTCCTGGTGTGTATAAATTGGAAGTAAAACAAATGAAATATGTTCAATTGAAGATACGAAGAGAAAGATGTTGTGACCCCTAGCATGGAAATATGCTTAGCCCTGTATTGTTACAGTTAGACGTAATGATAGTTTGAGGTGAGACAAGGGCTGGGAGCTAATAAGAATATTCATATTGTCCACTTTCGCCAGCCATACTACTGCTATTTGTCGTTTCGACCAGTTGAGCAGTTAGCTTAGAATCAACCACTCGTTTAATAATATTTGAGTTAAACTATACTTAGAAATAAGAGGGTTTAGAAATATTACTGGCGTTTGAAATTTTCGCGAATATGGTAACAGTGATAATAGTGAGTAATTAAGTAATAACAGTCATTTAAAATAATTTAATAAGCTTATCAATCTGTGCATGGCTGATTATGTCAATGACATTGGCGTACAAGGTTACCTAGTCAACAGCCAAAATTAAAACACAAAAATGATTACTAAGCTTAAGGAAAGGGTTCAAGAGGGTCGATACCTGTTCAGAAACCTCGTGATCCCGTATCTCTTTCTCCTCCAAAGTCTGATTAAGATTAATAGACTCTTGCGACTCTGAAGCAAAAAAAATATAAAAGAGATGCTGGAGTAGGAAACTATTGAATTTTAGGCATTATGAACAGATGATTCAAAGAGGAAATGTATAAGTGAAATTATCCTTAATACATAAAACTGAATTTCACTTATCAATTAGGCAATTTGATTTGGTCTAGTTCTTTTCCAGAAGGCATTTGTTTATGCCTCATGAGTGCTGAATACGAGGGTGCATTTTGACGGAATATCATACAATGAATTGACTACCTTAAATGCCTTCAAATATTCAAATAGATCCTAGAAAATTCAATTTGACACAAGTATTATTGTACTTGGCAAAATATATTGACTCAATAAACAAAAAAAGTCCTTAAAATGACGGAAAAAAATTGGTACTTTCACAAGGCTTCTCCTAGGACAATGTATAGAGCCCTTCTACAAAATGAGTTATAAATGTATCCATTTTAGATGCACACATATGTTAAATAATTTAGGGGCGAAGATCTAAGGAAAAAAGAGCGTGAACTCACCAGAACAAGGTAAGAGTATGATTGTGGTGAACCTGTAAACTTACTCTATAAAATTTTACTACATATCGGAAAATGAAATTTGATGAATAATAAAAACTCTTGGAAACATACAAAGTCCATTGTTCGAGACTGGAAATTGTCATTACTATGACAGAAGATTCCAAACAAGGTGCATTCAGCTAGGTCCCTCTGAAAACAGGACCAAGTTGCGAAAATGGAGTTAAACCCCTTAGATAAAATAGGATTTCGTGAAAATAATAAGTTATAGTTCCAAAAACGGCTACTATATCCAGCAGAAAGGAGAAATAATCACAAGGAATATATAACTAACGCAGTTCTGCAGAGTGAGATTCAGAATCCAATGAATAGGGAGAAATACTTGGCTCAGATGGAGGGGCCATTGGAGGAGGGGGTAGGTCGATTTGAGGCATTGACTCAAAAGATGCCTGATCAGTCTGGATTCCAGCTGAAGTATTTGTAGACTCCTGCAATTGGTTCTGAGTCATTAGCTTTGCTTCCTTGTTGGCCTTCCGCTCTTCGACAATACGAGCCGCTTTCTATAAGGTAAAAAGAACAAATATTATAAGTTTTAGGGAATTTCGTCTCCTATAATGACTTTGCGTACTATAACTC